CGGCCGCGTTAACAGGCAGCGCCCGGAGCAGGGAGGGCGGGCGCGGGGCCGGGAAGGCGGGGCCGCCCTGCCGCCAGGCCCCGCTTCGCTCAGAGCTCCGGGCCTGCGGGGCCCCGCTCACCTTCGGGCCGGGCCGTACAAGCCGGAGGGCAGGAGTGTGCGGAGACCAGCGCCAAGTAGGAGTAGGGCTGCTGTGGTCATAGGGCAGCCCCTGTCTAGCACCGCACCACACCGCACCGCCCAGCCCGGGGCTTCCCCCTGCAGAGGCGACTGCCGCCTGAGCTCGAGACCCCCTCGCAGGGGTTGCACCAGCTGCACCGAGCGCTTTGTAAAAGAACAAAATCTAGCCTGGAGCTTTCTTAGGACACTAAGTCTTACAAATGGATAGCACCTGCCTGTTGAAAGGGAAAAGCTCATGCTTCAGGCTAGTTCCTTGAGAGCGGTGTGCACACCTGTGTTTTGGGGAAAGGAGGCTGACAGACTGGAGGGCTGTGGCTGTGAAAGCAGAGGTCTTTGTGGAAGGGCACATGGCTCAGTTCCCATCCTTGCAGGAAAGCAGCAGGCCCTATTCCCTCATGATCCCACTGCAAACATGGAATTTAAAAGCAGAGAAATCAACCAAGAAACAGCATGACTACTTACTCAGTACTCACTAGCTATGCTCATGGAGACAGGTGGAAAACAGCAGCTCACATGCCCATGAGGCACATGAGATAAATTTAAAAACCTGCAACCATTATTCCAGTGCCCATCAGTCCATACGCAGGGAAGAAAGAGATTGGCTCAGGGCTCCACAGCACCATTCTGGTTGTGATACAGCAGCTCTGCACTGTATAGACTCTCCCCCTCCTTCCTCACACCTGCTCACTTTCACTAGCTCTTGTCCTTGCTTTTCTGGAGCTCTCACCAAAGACTCTTAGTTTCTGGAAGATGCAGCATCCACCGGACAACCTAGGCCCCAGATACTTCCTGTCCTCTGTCACTCAATCACTCCATCTTCCTCAGCTTGACAGTAACTGTTCTCAAGATCTCACCTCAGTCTCTAATGTGGTAGTAGCTCTCCTGCAGTGCTCCCCCCCAACCCCTCCCTTTCCCCACCATACACACTGGCAGCCTTTGCCATGGCACTGCTTTGCTGTACAGTGGTAAGTCACTAAAATGAGCAGTTCAGCATTTAATTAGCCATCTTAAATACTAGAAGAAAAACTGAGTATGCCCAAAGGAGTATGTTGGCCTGCCTAAAATGCTTGGATAATGTGTTCACCTAGTATTTTAAAAAAACCATTAACATTTAAAAAGGTATCTGGGACAAAAGATGCACCATAATGTTTTACCATCTTTGCAAATTCCCACTGAAGTTTTTCTTTTGGTTGCTCTTTCCTCAAGTTTTTCCTAGAGAAACTTCATTGTTGCATTTAAGGAATTCTCAAGAAGGGTACTAAGGTGATAAAGTCTGTTAATATATAGACCTGAGTGCTGAAAGTGGCTTAGTACACTAGACACTGAGTGATGTAGACCTGCTTCATAAGTGGACCATACCTTCAGATGGTGCATCACTACTGAGCAAGAGTAGAATTAAGCATAGTTTTAAAACCAAATTCTCAAGTTACCAACCTGTGGGAATGCTGATATTATCATTAATATGGATAATAAGTGCAGGTTTCAAATAGCATGCAGAGGAAACTACAAAGTCCAGTTCTTCACTAAAGTGACACTATATATTCTTCTCAACAGGTTTAAATTACTGTGTCCCTTTACAACAAACACGAACTTACATATGTTGATGGGGAAAACATTTTGTTTCCTAATACCATTTTTTGAGTTTTTTTTTTTGTTTTTTTTTTTAAAGAAATCCAGACACCGAGATGCATATTAAATGAAAAATCCCATCATTTATCTAGGAGCCACCCAGTGTTTTCTGTTCTGTTGCCAAGCAGTCATTGGTTGGCAGGGTGTCAAGTGAAGCCATATATTCCCAGTGCCAGAACAATATCCAGTATCTTAGTTGATACACCAGTAAAAACTAATGTAACAAAAACCTAGAGATCTGTTAGATGAAATTAAAAATACAAGAAAGATATGATCACTACTCAGGAAAAGAGAAAATAGAGAGGGGGGAGGTATCTGCAAAACAGTTTACAGACAATCTTGCCTCCTCCACAAAAACTACTTGACTTTGTTCCTCTGTAAGCTGATTAATATAATCAGTTTTGAAGTGACAGTGGATACCCTAAGAGACACTGCTAAACATTAGAAGTATCATGGACAACAAAAAGTGGCCTCCACCAAAATTCACACGCACAACCTATAAATACTGTTCGCCTTTTTATTGAATATTCAGGTAAATATTTCACATTAATACAGGCTACATAAAGTAGAGCCACTATACGACATGAAATTTACTCAACTTTTCCTTTTTAAGTATGTAAACAATTATACATGTATTTACCACCCTAAAAGGTTGAAATCATGTAATCATCTAGTTCTCTGCTGCATACAAGTAGCATTCAGTAGTGTTTAGCCAAAAGCACTAAATTCATCTGATTTTAAGTTCAAAATGGCTAAACTAACTGGAGAACAGAATCAGTTGTATAGGTAAATCAAATTTGTTCTTATACAATGGGCAATCAAGTTTCCATTTTTACAGCCCACAGAAAAAGAAAAATGCTTTGTTAGGCACATTAAAAAAATCCCCAGGGTTCTTCAAGGTCATAGGTTTCCCGAACAATGCTAAAAAGGATAGACCCTCAAATCAGTTGACGTACTTGAGATGCATGTTTCCAATGTGAGGTGCCCAGGTGCCAGGCCAAATCTACAGCAGGAAGAAAAAGTCAAGAAAAAATTTAGACACAGATACAGTTCCCAACTAAGACTTACTGTGGCCAAATATGTTAAAACTGGGTGTATAAGTTCAGGCTCCTACATAAAAGTGGTCAGATATTGAGGCGTGAGCTTTCCTCATGTGATGCCAAGGTCTTGTCTGTATGGTATTGTATAAAATAGTCCTATCAACGTGTATTAATACTTCATACTGCTCCTAGTAAAATGTATTACTTTGATGAATGCTTCTGAGAACCAGACCGCTTATTTAAGGAACGCAGGATTGAAAGTTTTGACCTGTATATTGAGCTTTAAAACATAGTGCCCGTGTATCTAAACAAGACATTTTAGGAAAAAAAAGTCAAGTGAAAAAGTCTCACTTTAAATACAAGTCAGGTTTTAAACAGTTTCATTTATTCACAAAGTACAGAAATATTAGGGAAACATGATGCAAGGTTTCATTTTAAAGACACAGGCAACTTTACCTGCTGAGCATCAGTACATTCTGTTGAATTTTGGACAACCTTGATCATAGGGTTCCAGGCTGGATCTGGAGTATGAAGCCCATTAAACAGAGGGCCTCCTGGGCCATCAGCGAGCTGAGGATGTGAAGGTATTAGAGTGCCTCCATACATGGAAATTGGTAAACCCTAAAAGATCAAAAGGAACAACTGCTGAATAGTCCTCTGGTTATGGGCAATGACATTATGTACCTTATGTTTCTATAATGTAGGACCTTTCAGCACAAGAATGCCAGAGTCCCCTCTAGCAGTTATGGGCAGAGATTAAATTCCACCTACCCCTGAACACTGGGTTAGAAATACAGGAACAATTTTGCATCAACAGTGCAGTGAGGGGAAAAAAATACTTCATATTCAACTCCAGGCACAATTCAGTGCAAAACAGAATGTCACTAGCATTTTCCAATGGGATGCACAACAGAGTAAAATGTATTCTCCAAGACTGAGGTACACAGGCAATTCATACCCCCATGCAACATTGAAGAAATGCGAACATCTCTGCACTCTGTGAGAAAAAGGGTAACATTTGCTGGTCTAAGCATCCTGCTTGGAATACTTGAACCCTGGCCCACAGAAGTCTTAAATCCCAGAAGTACTAATTTAATTCTTCATCTTCCTGACATATCCAAATTAAGCACCATGACTGTATGCACATGCTTCTTTCAGATGAATCTAAAGCCAGATGTGTCTGCTCTGCACTGGGGAATGTCAGATCTCATGTCATGCTGTCACTGACGAAGTGTTGCCTCCTTATATGCCACATGTCCTTCTATCACACCCAGCCTTATATAAGCATGGCAAATGTGAGGTGCCATATAAAATATTTTAATAGCCAACTGCAAGAGTCTTTGAGTTTAGCCTATATATAATGGCTTTCTCTGAAGAAAGTATCCTATATTGAGTCTTGCTTGCCATGACGTTCTGGCAGTTCTCACATGCATTTCCTACATTCCTACACATGGCAGCGGCCAGACATGGAGTGGCAACAGTGCAGGGTGGTGGGTGGCAGCTGCCGCGTGCAAGCTTCCCCCCCACCCGCATCTGGCCAGTTGGCCAGAAATTCCAGTTAATAGAAATGCTGGTTAACACAGGTTTTACTGTACTTTCCAATTTCCTGTCACTTGCTGCTTATGGGCAGAAAGTATTCTTCCTGCATTAGAACAATCACATGTCAAGTTCAGAGGATTCTGACCAAGTATTTTCTCCAGAAGTTCTTGGAGTCTTCTCACAACATTGGTAGGACTGCACATGGTCCTAGCTATTCTTCAGCTACATGAAATGGATGATGATTTGGATGTACTGCTCTGAGCTACTTTTCAATGTTAAACCACTTCTGTAGTTCTTTGCAACACTGCCACATGTTTTTAAGAAAACCATAGGATAGATTACAAACAGTCTCTTATCTGTAACTTTCACTGGAAGTATTAAACATTAACCAGCTTGAAGAGATGATCAAGTCCCACAATTCAAAAGTTTCAGGATCCAACACAGCATGTGAAGAAGAAAAAGTGGAAGGCGTCATTAAGCAAGTTTCCCCATAGACCTGGGGTACTGGTCAGTGTCCAAAAATATTACATTTTAGGTCCATAAAATTCTAGGTGTGAATAATGCCCCCCATGCCTAAAGAGTATTTTAAGGTAGGAGGAGGCCTGAATGACAGAATCCTCTCATCTGATACAAAATAATTATGTCTGAAGAGACCAGTGGCCTGTGAACCTAATCCCAATTTACTTCAGAGAAAGGGCATTAAGATCAAATCCCTTTGCACATTTTTGTACTTTTAGTCAAACTAGCCATCTGCCAAGGGGCATGTTTGTAAGGGAAATGCAGATAGTTGTAACAAATGCAATTTCTTTGCAACTTACCTTAGAAAAATCCACAAAACTATTTGGCATAGGTTGGTGGAAAATGTTTGAGGGAGCCACTATTCCAGAATCATCTCTTTCCATTGGCTGATGCTGAGAAAACGTGCCTGGGTCTGATAATTGTTGATGCATTGGATGATTCCCCATTACGGGTTGGGACCAACCAGACAAGCCTTCTAAAAAGAGGAAATTAAAAATGATTATAGCAACATATTCACGCGCACACACATCAATTGAAAACATTCTGGAATGGAAGTCAGTCAGTTGCAGATACCACTTCCACCTATTTTAGACATCTTAAACACAGAATGCTTTTGATCCGTTTCCTATCTTGCAACCTTAGTGACTGGTTACTGACAAGGGAAGCACACGAGCCTACCATCTTCAGTCTCATAAGCTGCTCTCAAAACAGCTGTACAGAGCCATAAGACCCAGCTATATATACACAGCCTTTCTTCCCTAACAGGCCTCAAGCACCTTTCATGACTATGTCAATGCAAGATGGGAAGGTCCCAAAAGTCACACTTGGGATGTAAACTGTTACTAATGGAAATGAAGAGAACAGTCTGAAGACTGAGGCAGGAGATTATGATGACGATATCTCAGGTGGTGGGGGAGTGAATGCATCTGCTATTCTCTCATCCCCTATATATGCCAGACAAGTCTAATGCCTGTACTAGTCACCAAAAATGGTATTTCAGATGCCTCCAACAGAGCCAAAACTTTGGGAGTGGTATCATCCATGTACAGCACCACTGTATGAGAACTTTATAAGCTAATTCTCAAAACAGAAAAGCAACAGTGAGACACCAAAATTAAGTAGGAAGCCATTATCTCAGATCTGAAACAAAATTTAGGCCTCATTACAGGGATCCTGGTTTTCTCCATTTAAAAATCCTAAATTCTCTAATTAAAATGCACAGGTCCAGAATTCTCTGATTAAAAACCCCCAAATTCACATTTTTCCACGATTAAAGTGAAATGTAATTTGGAAGGATATCAGTACCTCAAACCATTATAATAAAACAAATTCTAAATACCTATATATTTTGGCGTTCGATTTTGGTCTTTTTATCGTAGAAAAATCAGAGCTCTGCCTGCCTCTTACACTCATCAGGACATGGGTCCAACTGCAGCTGTTCCCCCCGCTGCTTTGTGGCACTGAGCAGCCTTGATATGCCAAGTGCTTTGTCCCCATCCCTGGAGTTCCCCCTCACTCCTGGCATGCAGATCCTTGTCCCTGCCAGTGCCCCTCACTCCCGACCCATAAAACCCCACCCTTCCAGCCCTGCAAGTGCCCCTCACTCCCAATCCGCACTCCCCTGGCCCTGCCAGCACCCCTCACTCCTGACCTGCAGTCCCCCACCCCCCAGCCCTGCTCCCAACCTACAGCCCCTTGCCCCCCTCACCTAGTCCTGCTGGAGGGGGTTCCCATCTGCCGGGGCTAGGGCCCACACAGCCCCCTCTTCCCTCCCACAGCAGCACCTAAGCCCTGACTGCCACAAGCAGGAGGCAGTAGCTGCTGCAGCTGAAGCAGAGCACAGAGCCAAGCTTCTCCCCCCACCCCCCTCCACATGGGCAGCATAGCCAAAGTAGATCCCATGGGAAGGGAATGTGGGCTGCCTGCTATGGGGCTCCCCGCCCTGCTGTCCTCCCCCTGGGGGCCTTCACAGCCCAGTATGTGGAACCCAAAATAGGACAGTGGAGAGGCTCAGTGCTGCTGCTGCCAGCACCACTGCTGGGAGGCCCACACTAGTTGTTCCGCCATGGCAAGGTGCCCCCTGCCCATCTGGCAGCAGCAGGTCAGCCATGGCAGGGTTATGACCCCCTCCCTTTCCCCACTGCTGCCAGGAGAGCAGCGGGGTGCCTCACCATGGTGGTGTGGGGCTCCCAGCAGTGGTAGCAGCACTGAGTCTCCACCTTCCCAAGCCAGGTCCCACCTGCTGGGCTGCAGAAGCCCGGGGGAGAGGACAGCAGAGCAGGGAGGCCTGAGCCCTCAGTGGGCAGCCCACAACCTCCCATGCCCTGTGTACAAATCTGGGGGGACATTCCCCAGGAGTACGCATGGTGGTGGGGAGCCAGCTTCCCTGTTGCCCCCTGGATGAGCTGCCCATGACACTGTCACATTCCCCAGCTGGACCCTGCCCTGGCCCCAGGGACTGCCCTGGCTGGGCAGTGCACCCCAGCCCCCAACCCTGCCCCACTCCCTCCCTCACTGTGGGGGGCCTCAATCTGCCCCCCTCCTCCCCCAGACCTACCTGCAGGCAGCTAGGAAAAGGTGCTCTTCACCATTGCCTGGCTGTATGGCTGGCTACATGCATGTGGCGCCCCCTGCATTCTAGTTCTCCCAGCCCCAAGCAGCCCCTTGCAGGCTGAAACTCTGCTAGCCTCCAAGGGGAAACCCACTGTTTCCCAGGTTTTTCTCCTTTAAAGGAGAAAATAAAGGAGGCAAAGTTTTTCTCCTTTAAAAGGAGAAAATCCACATTTTTCCACAGCCAACAGAAACCCTGGATCCCTGCTCATTACATACTTTAACACACTTAAGACGCTGATTCTCAACTGGGGCTGCCATGGGACACAAGTTCACCTATCAAATTCAGCAGTACAGAAGATTTCAATCTTCCACATTTACCCTGTAACTCTGCAGATTGTAAACCAGGTAAAAAAAATTACATGAGAGAAAATTACTACGGTTTTAGCAGAATGAATTTGGTATGATCTTACATGAAAGCAATTGGTAATTGGCTAGAAATGTGTTTTGAGATTGCCGAACATGAAGCAACCCTTAGAGTCTCCCTTATAGGTTAGAGATTTGGCACCAATTGATTTTGGGACTAACAGAGGTCTCTATCTCTGAAAATACTGCACAGTGATGAACAAAAAAAAGTAATCATGGAGAAAAGTATTTTTGTTCTTCAAAAATTTTTATCCCATCCCTGAATGGAACATTTGATTCCTTAGTCCATAAAGGTACATTTTTATGTGTAACTAGCAAGTTTCATTCATTACTTTAAATTTCATCCTGAAATAATACATTTGGAATTCTGTATTACTCCAATAGCTTTTTAGCATGCAAATACCATAATAAGTCACACAGCTTTCTTAAACTAGTTTAGTTAAGATGTATTAAACTTACTTACCCGATACACTGTTAACTCCAAATGACCAGATACCACTGTGACCAACTGGAGCTGTGAAGTTGGTTCCCAGTGGGGTAGGAGTAACAGACCCTCCCTGTCGAATTCTAGCAAGTCTCTCTGTCCCAATGGGAGGTGGTACTTTTCGATCTTGACTTGTGTTACCCGTTTTTGGCTGGCCCAAGCTAGAAGGTGCAGAAGCAGCTGATAGGGGTGAGGATGATCCCGAGGAAACTGATGGAATAGGAGATTCACCTGCTGACAAAAATATTTCTCTTGCTTTATTATACATGAAACATTTAACAAATAAAGCTAAATATTATAAATGGTCTTCTACAATGTCAATCAAATTCTGTAAAGTAGACAGAAAAAAAGCAAGTGTATACATTTTATTTTTCTAAGCCAATTGAATAATATATTTTGTGGCTGAATATTAATTTCACTAACCACTGTTTGGTTCTCCAGAAAGATTCTTCTTTCAAAGTGTTTAGCTTAAAATAATTTTATAAATGTACAAATGGTTTGAGCCACCTGAGCATCACATGACACTCACTGGACGTACTAGTACAGTTAAAAAAAATTAAACGAAAAAGTAAGAAACCTGAAATATTTTCCAAAGCTATTTTAAAGTCCTGGCCAAAATTATCTAGGCATCCAAGAAGCCTGATTCTTGCAACTGCTGAACATTCAAACCTAAGTGGGAACAAATTAAGGACAGCATTTTCAAACGTGCACCCCTTCCCCTACCTTCCCCCTCCCAGTTTCCACCACCTTGCACTAAGACTCTGTTATCCTTTTGGAAATCTCATTCTGAGCTGACTGGCTGGGCCCTCGTGTGTTCCAGCAGCTGCAATGACTACAACTACATTGTGGCAGGAAAAGACAGGAGAGTCTTTCTGTTCAAGAGAATATATTAAAGACTCAAACCACTCTTCAATTTTCACTCACCATAAAAAGGGAAGCCCTTACTGAATTTTTTTAATTGTATGAAGACAGAGTACCAAATAAATCCAATGGCTTCACTTTTTTGAAACCAAGCATCATGGAATCTAAAAGAAGCCACATCAATTTCATCTAATGTAATTATATTTTATGACAAGTCCAAGGGTTAGTCACAAAAATAAAGCTTGTTGATGCAGTCTAAGCCCCTGGGAGTGTTGCCCACATAAGCCAGTAATAACACCGTCAAAACCCAATGGCTTTTTATACAAAATATGAGTAGAACCGAGTTAAAAACTTTTCTACATGACTTATATTTGATAAAGCTAAAAACAACCAACTTAGTTTCTAAACCCAGTTATATTTAAAAAAAAAAAAAGTCATCACGCTAAGACAATAACTAAGAAGATATATAATATTAAGACAGACCCATGAAGTTCCTACATGAATTTGTTGCGCTTGTCCACGGATGTGGTGAAAAATGCTGTCTGTTAAAACTGGGGGTCCCAACAGGTGCTGGCCCTTGAAGATAAACCCGTGCTCCTTGTATGTTGGCTGAAAAGCCTGTCAGAGGCCCTGAAGACGATGTTGTAGAGATGTTTGATGGATCTAAAGAAGGTAATCCTGGAAAGAAAAAAAAAAAAAAAAAGAAGGAAAATTGGTCAAATGTACAAGTTTGAGAAAGTACTTCAGTGTACCAAAAGGCCTACTACAAACACAATTTAAACCTGGTGTTCAGACACCCTCTTCTGGGTTATTTTCATGTGTAATAAGTTTTTCATTTCTTAAACAGGTTCCAGGTCAAGGGAGAGCTACATTCTGGAAAGTTAATTTTTTGTCAGGTGTTGTGACAATACTGTGTAGGCCATACTTTCAGTTACTCTGAGATATTAATGCAAGACTAACACAGAAGTCACTGTCCCAGCTTCCTCTTCAGTCACCCAAGCAGCCAAGTACAACCACCAAAACAAACAGGAATGACCTGAGTTGGTGGAAGACAGAGGGCAGAACACACTTTACCAAGCAGTGAGTCAGATGGATACCATATTTTCTTGCATACAATACTAGACATTATCTAAAGGTTCACAGAGTTTTTTAAAAATTTAAAAAAAAAAAAAAACTTTTATTGCTTTAAATCTTCCTAGATATGACGGGAAAAAAAGTCTTCTTCCAAGGTACTTCTGACCAAACCCAATGAGATAGCATCAATATGAGGGAGGGTATTTCAGAAAGTAACAGCAATTTTGAAATAAAACTACTTTGTCTACAATGATCACATCACTTTTCTACATAGTCATGACTGATGGGTGCATGGGATAAGGCTGCCATCAGTAGTCCCCTGTTACTGTGCAACTCCCTGCTTGGTCTCAGACATGCAGCACGAGTAGTCATTTTGCTGCTACATTTCTGATGCACCCTCTTAAATACTCAATTATAAGTAAAGGGAAAAAGAACTGACTTAGCAGCACTCCCCAAAGTAAAAGTCTGTTTCATAACAACTGATGAAGATTCAAATTTTCTAATCAAGCCGAGACCTTTAACTAAATGCATCACCACCAAAATCCTTCAACACCCTTTATCATAGTTTATTAATAAATATACATAAATTAGGATAGAACCAGATTTTTTTGTGTTCATTTGGGTTTCATTTCAGACTGATACCCTTTGCTTCCAACTTGTATTTTTCTATATTAGGAGAAAAGAAGACTGCTCAAATTCTGCCTCATGATACAGAGGCAATGTATGCCACAATATTCGAGCGAATAAGGAACTTAACTAGGCACTCTACTGACAGCCCATTTCTAGGGCAAACTCAAAGAAGTGTAAGCTTATGGAAAAGGAACTTAAAAGAATAAACTTATGCTTAGTCACACAGGTGATATAAATCTTGGTGGCAACTTCATAGATAACAAAATTTTGATAAGCCTTACTGTATACCCTGTCATATGAAAATAAGATGACCCACCAGTGAAAACTATCAGTCTTAGATGCCCAGAGTTGTTACACTCCTCAGCACAGAAATACCAAAATTGGTAACTGGGAGTTTTGACCTCAAAAGATGCAAGGAAATAGTGTAAATTGTGCTGGAACATAATATCTACTATTTCTATCTCAATATTGCACATAGTTCCAGAACCTCCTGATATACTCGGAGTAAAATCAGCTATGCAAGTACAAGGGACAAAGGGTTTGCTTTTTTTTTTTTAATTAAAGAAATGAAATGAGTATAAATTTAATAGCAAAATTACTGCAGTGAAGGAGTCTCATTTTGCCTTTATAAGTGTAGTTACTCTCAGAACTCCTGAACATAAATAATTCTAGGGGATCAGAGTGGCATGGCAAACTGTCCTTTTTACCATAAAGTTTCTTACAACAGTGACAACTGGTCAACTATAAACACCCATAAGAGAAAGAATAGCTGCTGAAGACCACTGGAGAAAGGCAAACAAATTTATTTAGAGGACTGGAGGAATGAAGTCAGACTACTTCAATTGCAACAATTTTAACAACATCTAGTCTTGTTTGGCACACTGGGAATAGACAAGTCATAAATGTGCTATTTACTTGCATCCTTCATGAGGTGGCCAATTTAAGCAAATACCTTTAAAAGCTCTTTTAGGGATTATGGCAAACATCTTCCAAGTTGTATGCCTGAAGCTAGGAAGGTAAAAGGAAAGTGGACAGATTTTCAGACATTTAACACCTGTAGTGCCATCTGAAACCAATGTGAATGCAGCACTACTAAAGACAAACTTCATGTACATGTCCAAGTTGAATATTCAAGTTTAAAAATTTTGCCCTAAAAATGAAGATGATTTTTGGTATCAAAGACAGGAGGACTCAAAGCCAATTAAGTTGAAAAAGCTTGAAGGAAAGCTGTCCAGCTACCCACATTCAAAATTCACTAATTCTCTATTTTGGGGGTCAGCAACCTACCTGCAGAGCTATTTTTACTGACTCTCAGAGCTAAGGGGGGCTTCTGCAATATTCTGGCATGGGGGACGGGAGTTGGGGGTGGTGAGCAGTGGTTGGAGAGGATCATTGACTGGACTCTGGTAGCAGCAGTATGGGCCAAGTTGAAAGTGCCACATACTTGAGGCTAAGCTCTGTTAAAACAGCCCCGCCCCCCCTACATCATACAGGTTGAACTAAATGATCTCTTGAGGTCCTTAACAGCTTGGATAAGGTGCTATGAAGGAGCAATCAGGTTTACCATGTGTTTTGCTCCTTATTGATAGATCAAGTCCCAAAGGATGAAAAGGTTAGACAACTGCCATACAAGCAATAGGGAACAAGATCCTCCTCCCCTACTACTTTTGGTTTAGTGTCTTGACAATCCATCCTACAGCTAATAAATGCTAGAGTGAATTCCACCCATACGTATCAAGCACAACAGAGCTTTAACTTTCCACTAAGTGGCCAAAAGTTGCAAGCTGCTCCTGCAGCATTCCCAGTGCCAGAAGAGTTGGAGGGGGAGGTCAGAGGATCCATGTTTATCATTCAAAACAGCATTTGAAAAATCAAACTTGGCTGACTCTGCTCTTGTGCTGGGGTTCTATGCATGTTACCTTATAAAATACTTCTGGACCAACCTGAGGAGGTTAAAGATCAATGACAACTTTCACCTTAATCCAGCACATCATTTTAGCGACTTACCTACAGGACTAGTAGAAACTCTCTGGGAAGGTGGCCTAAATCCAGGAGCCTTGGAGTTGTCAGGATGCACATTTTCTACATGTCCAAGCACAGAGTTATTCAGAAAAGTAGACTGAACAGCAAAAGATGGGTCTGCTGCTGCTCGCGTGGATAACGGACAGTCTCCCCATCCTTGGTTGGCTGGCACCTGGTTGCTATCAAAGAGACTACTAAAGTGATTGAAGAGCGTTGCTGGCCCAAACGTAGGAGGCAAGGATTTGTTTGCTGGGTTAATGTGCATCTGAGAACCATTCATAACGTTCATGGCTGATGAAAGCTGCACTGCAGCAGGCGGGCCTTGCGAAGGTGTTAAAGGAACTGGATTTGTAACAAAAATAGACTGAGGATCTTGATGTAGGTTTGCATTTGGTACCACTGAATAGAAAGAACTCCTAGGCTGCATTCTGTGAGAAACTCGAGGTGCTGGTACAGCTAACTGAGGTAAATTACTGTTGTCCTGATTATCTGCAGCAACTGATCTGGGTGAAGCTAAGCTTAATGGAGTGGGTTCTGAGCTAGATGAAAAAGGCATCGACATAGAAGGACTCATCTCTGACATGCTGGTTGGCAATATTTCATCTTGGACATTATTCAGAGGTGCAGGACTGCTTGCTGGGCGAGTTTCTATGACTCCTGGATTGCTGCTAGTTGACATACTGCAACTACTTGCAACGGAAGTTGGTGCGTTCACACTTCCAACAGGCTGGTCAGGTGTTGACACCTTCTCTTTGGGTGTAGAAACAGTTGAAAGAGAGTCCGTTTTAAGTGTAGATTGCTGCGTCTGTGGACCATTAGAGGGCAGAAATGCTGTGGGAACTTGCCCATTGTTGGCAGGTGCAGAGGAAGCAGAAGGCAGACTGCTACAGGTGCTTGTCACAGTTGAGACCGCTGTTGCTCCAGTACTTGTCTTCGGAACACAAGCAAACAACTGCTTTCTGACTGATGAGGGAGTCCGATTGCTGGTTACACACAGTGGTTGGGTGGAAGCAGCTACAGATGAGACAGTAATAGGACAACTAGAAGTAGCTAATCCAGTAGACTCTGACTGTAAAATATTCCCATTCTGATTACCTACACGACACGACTTGAACTATTATGCTTCGGAGAGCTGTTTGTGCTGCCAGGGTTAACTGGTCTCACTGGGAATGGTCCCCAAGTGTTCGGTGAAGGTGAAAAAGTTCCTCCAAACTGGGCCATAGGTAAGCGAGGGTGCCGAATCTGTTGCATAGTTTGGGCAGCCAGCAAGGCAAAGTGAGGGTGGGAATAAGCTAAAGGAAGAGACACTGGAAAAGAAGAACGTACGTTTGCTGGAACATTCTTGTTTAGTTTACTAGTGGGCTGGAAAGTCGATAGCGTCGATGACTGCGATGTGACCAGAGGTGGTGCGCCAAGAGGAAACGAATTTTTGTTAGAAGCAGCTGCAGTACTAACTCCAGTCGAAAAATTTGCATGAATTGATTTGGTGCTAGAAGCAGGTGTTCTTATATGAGTTTTAGGAATCAGATCTTCCAGTTCCTTGGCAGGATCTTGAATAAGAGCATTGATGAGCTGCACTGCATATCTTGTTGACTCTGTACCACCCCTGAAATTAAAAAAAAGTATAGCATTAATCTTTTCTTAAAATGGAACCCTCACTGTGTTGTAATGCTTTTTGGGGCATCATAACTGTAAATAGGTTTATAAAGTGTGTTGGCTATATTAGCATTAAAATGAAAGTTAATAATAAATAAGCTTATTTCCCAATATTTGCTTTATGGATTTAATTTCGAGTGAGCCAAATCTTAGCATACATCTCAACAATATACCCATTATACTACTGTGCCAAGGAACTAATGTGTCCTACATTAAAGGGTAAAGCACTCTATGAATGTAACACACTGTACAAACTCAGATATTTATTTCCATATATGGTACCTTATTGTGATCATTCGCTCTCCATTCTTATCTTTTTGTTTATCCACATCAATATGAGCACCAGTGACATCCTGAATTGCTGTGATGTTACACCCACCTCTTCCCATTATTCTAGATACAACAGAAGCTGGGACAGATAATTTCTTTGACCTATAATCATAGAGATTGCAAACATGTGAAGCTCAGAGAAGGTAAAAACAGCATTAAAAAGCTTACTGTTTGACAAAATGGACACATTCATTTTTTTTAAATTTCATGGCAGCAAAGTGGCTGTCTGCTGGTAATTAGTTCACTCTTTGGAGCCTTTCAAACTCTCCCACTGAAATAAGTTGTCTTTCTCAAGTTTTTTTAGAAAACTTCACCCAACTGTGGCATCACAGATATATGCACGTTATACCACATATACAATGTTTGATGTGATTCTCTTCATGATTTGTCCTAAATTGTTTATTTTTACAATTTCTAATGACATGAAATCTTAGTTGACCATCTTAATTTACATATTACTACACCATTTCAAATGCTAAAGTTTGTGGTTTTCAATCACAAAAATTAGTCGTTAGATTCAAGGCGCTTCCATGCGTTATAGCCAGAATACTAACCTTTTTAAACATGTTTGCACTGAACATCTTTGGAAAACCTTGCCTGAGCAAGATTTTAAAATCAGGGTTGCAATCACACATCCTTTTTAGAGTCCATATCTCACAAACTTCAAGTGAAAAATGACACAGGCTCTGAAAGCCTGCAAGTGACACTATCTACATACTGCTGTCTAACAAATTGGTCAATTATAAAATTCTTGGGTCCAAAAGGATGCAGAAGCCACTATAAAAGGGCAGCACTGATGTTCAGAAATACAAATAATGAGTATTTCAGGCCACAACACCACAACCCAAACTCAGTAAGCTAACTAAATGAAGTGCTAGGATTTATGTTTATGTGGCATTGGTGGGTCAGTGCAGGCATACAGCACTGAGAAATCTTAGAACATAAGGTATACTTGCATCTAGATCCTAGCCAAAGTCCCTTTGGGTCACCCCTTGCTCCCAAACTTAAACACTGGACCTCTTAAGCCCATACGTAACTTTCAAGCTTACCAGTGGTATATAATAACGAGTGAACTATGCAGTTAGAGGGGATTCAAAGGGGTTCCAGAAACCACTATGATGAAGGTTCAAGAACTTTTTAGTACAGTATAGACTGTAAATAATCTTAATTGCTGCCAGCTCCACCTATTTTAAATTTCGTTTTATTTAAAATTGACATTTTTAGACTTACATCTGACTATATTAAAATTCTAAATGCCTCCCTGTCTTAATTTCTCTCTCCCTTCCCTCTATCAAGTGCACACTATAACTATAGTTTTTTCTTTTATATATATTTATATACATGTATATATAAGAAAGCTAAGTTTTACATGTTCCTGAAGTGTAGACTTTAACAGCAACACCAAAAATCATGAGTTGGCAACACTGAATCACCCACTAATGTCTCCCACCCTACCCACACCAAGCTCACTGCTTTTAACTCTGAAAAGCCCCCCAACAGTACCTTTTTGCTCCTGAACAGCAGCGTCCTCCTCTTTGTAGCTGGAACTGCTCAATGGGTGTTGGCTGCAGAGTATTGCTAGGGGGTGGGTCTTTCAAAACTCTGCCCACTTGCCTGTCAACGGTAGAAGGAATGTTTTCATTGGTTATTTCTTTGCTAGAAATCCCTTCTACCCAATGGGATGCATGCAGTAGAGGGAGTGGGAAGAATTGTTTCTGGAACTGGGAGGGGCTTTAGAAGGAAATTAAAGTGTGCAACTCCCAGGCACTTCACAAATAATGTACAGTTGCTAAATGATTCTTTAACTGTATCAGTGTACTGCCATTCACGGCAGGGTACAGCAAACATAGGTCCAGAATAGATTTTTTGAGTACATTCCTTATAAAACAAATCTTAATTTCTTAGGGTTACCAAAATCCACCATTTTAGAATGAAATGTTTCAAACACTAACATTGCTGACAAGACAGTAATGTGTATTAACCAAAAAAAAAAAGCAAATGTAAAGCATAACAGTTCAACTGAGTCTATGAAACTCAAGAGACCCGTCTTGAGAGATGGTAGCAACTCCAGGGTCAATAGTGGGGTCCCCTGGCAAAGCCATATTTCTAATGGTTTAAATGCCTGCATGACTCACCAAGTGGGCATCTGTGAGCAAGCATTTATCAAAAGGACCTCATAACAAGAAACAATATTTGTGAATATATTCAAAACAAAGGAGGAACCCTGCATACTACGACTGACGTGAAATAACAACTTGAGAGACTGAAATTGTATGGCTTTTCTAGCAGCAAAAAAAAATAGGCAGTTTAGGTAGGTTCCCTGAAACTCATACTTCATATCCTCTAAAATAGTGTTCAGTATACATATGCTAAAAGATGCTCCTGAATGGGCTACTTAGCATTTCAAAATGTGAAAAAAAGTCAGGGATAAAAGCACCAAGCACCAAAACATCCAGTAGCTATGGTTTTATATTGTATTTTGCTTCAATAAACAGAATTAAAAAAAAAAAAAGGAAAACAAACACTTGCCAGCTACAGCTAGCAAACAGAAAAAGGTTAATAACATGAAAGACTCATAAGCCACCTGATGTCACAAAAATGCACACAATTTTTTCAGTTAGGAAGAAGCCTTTCAGCAGAAGCAGCTTTGATTTAAACATGCCCCTAAAGCCTATTCTAGGGCTGTGACTGAATTGCTTTTGCCCACTGTCCAGTTCTATTTATCATCATCATCATCATCATCACTGATCCGCACCCAACTTTAAAGAATCCCATCTTAAGCTCCAGACCAAGCTTTTGCTATGGTGTCTTTTCGTTACCTGTCAAGCCTCAACCCTTGCCACTTAGCAGCTTGAATAAGTTTCTCCTCACAAAAGGGGCTTCTATGTGATCAGCATTAATACAGTAAAAGATTCCAATTCCTATTTTCCAACATAATGCCATGTTGGGTTTTTTGACTAGTGTGTAACTACAAACCAATTACACTTCTTTTCTGTTGGCAGCACTGTACATACACATCAGGGAAGGAGGGATTTTATAAAATAATTAAAAATATATCATCATCATACTGAAACAAATTCTACTAGACTTTCTGCACAGAGGTGTGTGTGTGTGTGTGTGTATTTTTTTTTTTTTTTTTTTTTTTTTTTTTTTTTTTACCTTCTAACCACTTCTTTCCAGCCTTCTTCTCTCTTCTGGCCTCTTTTTGGACTAGTAAGATTCAGCTTCACATTTGGAGACGCAAGAGGCAGGGACACAGATTTATAACTTGTTGATAATGAATTTGGATTAGTTTCATCATCAAGTCTGGGAACAGAGATGTATCGATCACAGATTATAAAATTAAGTTACAAAAAGTAGTTGTAATACATACATATTAAACAAGTTAGGCAAAATATAAATACTAAAATTCTTTTAATTCTTTTATTCATATTGTGCAACAGTTGTTGAAAGGGAGCCTCTATCAGATATCTCCTCACCAGTTGTCCAGAACCCACAAGTTCTCTGACAACCATATGCCTAAATTACATCAAACAATACCAGAGACAAGATTAAAATGACCTTTATGCTAGGAGGTGCATAACCCCCTGGTTAAATCCCTGTGATGCATGCTATATTTTTGCCATGGTTTAACACTTCGTTAACAACTTAACTTTAGGTACTTCTGTCCCATATTATCAAAATCTGAACATTTCATAAACATGCACTAATCCTTACATGAAGCAGGAAGAAAAATCTACTCCCCCCCCAACTTTAAAGATGACAAAGCAGAATAAAAATAGTAAAGGTCACGTATTTTTAAAGGTATTTAGGCGTTTAATTCCCACTGATTTCAATAAGTTAAGCACCAAGACATCTTTTGACAATGAACCTTCCTTATGTGACTTGGTCTAAGCTAACAGTAAATCTGTGGCACAGCAGGAAAGTTAATGGAAGTTAGCGAAGATCTCTAGCCTTGGGGCCATCAATCCCTCTTGTATTAGTCAGGGGTCGGCAATGTTTTTGGGCAGAATGCCAAAAACACCAACTTCAACTTGTAAGATGTTGGTGTGCCAGGTGTGGATGGCAGGGGATCCACAAGGGGCCCGATCTTTGTTGGGGCCATGTAGCCCTGGCCCCTTCCCTGCCATCCACCTAGAAGCACACATGCCAAGCAAAATGCCTTTGAGTGCCACACTGGCATTTGTGCCAGGGGTTGCCTACCCCTATACTAGGTCTTCCCTTGTTACCTGCAGCCCCTTTGTTCTACTTTCTCATTCTGTCTTCCTTTACTTGCTATGTCTCAAGTGATTAAGTCAGCCAATCTGTTCATGTTCTATCTATTGAATAAACTCAGATTTCAATTTCTGTGTAAGCAACCCCTACATATAAAAGAACTCTGCTTGAGGACTGATGCTCAAGCAATACATTTCACAAAATTTTCTTTTTGCTTGTGCATGCTTTACCAATGTAACAAAGCAGTTCAACAGACCACCTGAATGTTTCCTGTAGACTCTCAGCCTCAAAAATCTGATCATTATGGAATTAAAACATTTCCTACAAAAGCCTATTAGAGAAAACCCCCCAAACAGTGAGATATGTGGCTTGGATAGGGGCAATCCTGCCTCAGGCAGAGGGTTAGACTAGATGACCTCTAGAGGTCCCTTCCAGCCCTGCTTCTCTACGATTCTATGAAACTGATGATGTACAAAATAACGTACCGAAGGCAAACAGAGCAAAGTTTTTTCCTGCCACTAAGTAATTATTAGGTGATATTTGTAATTACAATAGCTAAACTTTCAGTACGAAGTGACTTTTTAAAGCAAATGTTCTGAAGTACAGATATGGTTAATTTTATCATAGGCATGGCAAGGGAAGCAGGCAGTCAAATACAAAAAATTCAAATGGGCTGTAAAAGGTATCATTTAGGGAAAAAGATGCTCATGTTTCAGAAACTTAATATAGGCAGTCCTCGACTTACACCGTTTTGAGTTGCAACATTTCGCACTTACAACGTTTATAAATTGACACCCTGTTTCAACTTTATGATGTCAGTTTTGACTTACAACGCTTAATCCGATGCGACGCCATGCCAGCGAACGAGTTCGCTGTGTTGCTCACCTCCCTGGAGAACATCTGTCCAAACTTCCTTGGACACTTTCTTTAAGAAAGCAGACAAGACTCCAGAAAAACCTGCAGGTAAGACTCCTGAGAAGACTCCAGCCAAGAACCCTCAAAAAGTCCAGCAAAGTCACCTCAAAGAAGTCCTTCCAAATCAATATGATTGGTATTTACAATATAAATACATTAATGTAGCTATATTACTCATCTATAATTGACAGAGTACAAAATTCTGGGGTATTTTTGGTGAAAATAGGGTATTGGGCCGTGGTTCAGGAACCAATCCCCCATTTATAACATTGTTTCTTATGAGAAAATTGGTTCTGAGTTGCAATGTTTCGACTTAGGACGCGGTTTTCAGGAACCAATTGTGTCTTAAGTCTGAGGACTGCCTGTAGTTTAATACACGAGTCAAATTTCACTTGTCCAATTCTGGCTTTCCATTTACTTGAGACAAAGGACTGCTTATCTGGATAACTGAAAAGTTGGCTGCCGTCTTGAAAAATAAATTATGATGAAAAAAGTGATGTTTATAGTGACATTATCATGTGCCTTGCAAGCTTCTGTGGATATATATTTTTAAGAGGCTTCATCTTGAAGCATCAAAGAATAAGCAAGCATTTTTAGACTGAACTGTCTATACACTGGTACCTGGTACTGAAAATACAAGCAGGGCCAAAATAGTTAAGAAGAAGGAAAACTATGGATTGAGGAATATTCTAAATTGTGCCAAGTTACAGGAAGATGTTTGATTACCTAAGCCCTAACCTTCAGTCTGCAAAATGTATCTTAGTCTTCAATGGACACATTTTAAATTAAATTAGATTTTTTGCCTCTTTTCAGGCTGTCAAGTAAATGAGAGATACTAAAGCACAAATCAAGGTACAGGTGTTGTGTTCTTTTAAAAGATTTTTGTTTTACTTTTTTTTTTTTTTTACTATTGAAATAATCTTGATCACAACCATAAAAAATGATGCCCTCTGTTTGCTCAGTGCAGGCAAAACACAGGCAGTAATGCTACAAGATTCCTGCATAAAACCCTGTAAAGGTGTCTCAAAACATGACTTTAAAAGTAGCTATGTTGAGGGTCATAAATTCAGATTTGTGCCACTATTCAGACTGTGGCTTCTGTATTTTATAAGGTTACCTATTCACTAGGAACCAGACTGAACCTCCAAATTATTTTACATAAGCCAGTATACAGCCATTACACTGCTTTGACCTTCTGGTCCAGGCTGGATATTAATGAATCAAGTAGACAGTCTAAAGATGAAGGGTTCTATATCTCATTACCAAATAACCTGTCATCCTGTCCTTCTATTTAAAACAAAAAAAAGTCACAGAACTATTCGTGTGAATGAATTATCAAACCATATAACAGCATTACTGAGTAATGGAACTACTTTTGTAAGACTATAAATAAAGCTGACACTGAGGTTTCCAATCCTCTTACTGTAAGCTCTTTTCACAATCCATTCAGTTAATGATTCACTTTATACATCTAACAAGTGCACAGAGATCCTGATTTAGCAGAGCAGTCCAATTTTGTATGGGGTTTCCAACAATGCCAGAATTCTCATTTACTTTTCATTTTTAAAACTGGCACACCCAAGTCAATTCAGCTATTTAAAAACCATGCAATAAAACAGAATTTTAAGACCTTAGTCTCACAAACTGATGAGATTTACCTGCTGTAATTTATCTCCAACAAACATTCACACTGATACAGACCAAGGTACAATTCTAAAAGGGCGAGGAACAGAAACTGATGGCTCACCTTGTTGGTGTTTTTGGAGCTGAGGTGCTAGACTTTTCTTCCTGAGAAGGGAGCAGCAACGAGGAGTATCGCCTATCAGTAGATGAGTTTGTATCCATTGTGAAGTTTAATTCCTGGCTTTTACTTCCACTGCTACTCTCGCTATTACAATCTGTGCTATCCAGGTTATCAGAATCACTATTCCCACCTGCACCGCCACCTCTTGGCTCTCCATTTATTTTATTTGTATCTGCTTTTTGTTGTGCTAGAGATATATGCTGATCTGGCAAAATTATCTGCACATTCTGAGGAGTGTCCTTAGTTTTATTTTTCTTGTTTTTTCGGTTGGTGCTGGGGGTAGTCACCACATTGGCTCTCTTCTTCCCGAAGACATTTGTGAAAGTTGCTGATGTTGCAGAGATTCCAATTGTAGTTGTAGTGGTTGCACTGGGAGGCTCTATAGGAACTTCTTGCTCCACTTAAATAAATAAAAATAAATAAAAGTTATTTACCGTGTGTATTATATCGTAAATACCAATCACACATTGTAAAATTTAAAATGTTACCATTTTAAATTGTGTGCAAAATTTTAAATTTTACACACAATTTAAATTTTACACACAATTTAAAATTGTACACACATTGTACACTTTACACATACCATGTGTAAATAATGGTCTACTATTTAAGTGGGGAAGTAGGCCACTATTTAAGTGGGGAAGGAAGGGAGCTGAACAAGTAAAATGGTTTGATCTTGTAACCTCTTCTGTAAGAGAACAGAGCCAAAAGATCTTTTACATATGCCATATGAGAAGCGCTAAAGGTTACGGATAAAGGGGACTCAAACTCACATCTGTCTGAAGTTTCTTTACCTATTAATGCTATAATGCTTAAGAGGTTTAGGTTGTAGCCGTGTTGGTCTAAGGACATAGGCAGACAAGGTTCCTTAATCCAAATCTGCCTGGCAACTGACTCCCCAGCCCAGTCCCTAGCTTCTTTACTTTTCATTCCATCCAGGAAGAGCACACAACAACTGCTGAAACTTCCTTAGCCTGACGAGGGTTTTTGAACCCGAAAGCTTGCTTAATAACTATTCTCCAGCTATTTGGGTTGGTCTAATAAAAGATATCAAATTCACCCAAGGAACCTTGTCTGCATAATGCTTAAGAGGATTTCAGGGAAAAATATATTTTTCCAAGTCCACTTGTGCACAAGAACAAAGATAGAAAATTCTTGCTGATCAAAGATACTTCACATTTAAAGTTGCAATTCTGGTCTCAGCTGCCACTAAAAGAATAAAAGCAACTGTTTTAGTTATTAGTAAACATCCTAGATGTGCTGAGGGGATTTTGATTTGGGAAGAAGGAAAGAACTGAAAGAATGTGACAATTAACAAAAGCAGTTTCACTCACTAGGAACACTGAATTGTCAAATTAAACTTTTGGCTGTATGGTGAAAACCAGAGCAAGAAGCAACCCTGAAGTGGAGAGAGAGAACTGGACCAGTCTATTCAGCAAGACCTTTGATTTCTTTAAAAATAATAGTTTGCTCTTCTCCGAGGCAAATAAGACATTTTTTAAAACTAGAAGTCACTTTAGGTTTTAAAGTTGTTTTTGGCTATTCCAGAATAAGTACACTTCAGTATTTGTACTAAAATCTAAAAAAAGGTGTGTTTAAGCTGCAAACCAATGACTAAAAGAATGTGGCATGGTATAATTATGTTCCCATGCTTTTTTTTTTTTTTTTTTTTTTTATTCATCTACACTATTTCGCCCATTGTAAGCTCTCTACTAATAACAAATTAAAACAGTCAGTTTGCCAGTAAATCTTGCTCAAAAACACAAGCTTGCTCACACATACAATCCGGTACACAAATTACAAATACAAGCTTAAGCCTTCTATTTGGACCCTAGAAGGAAGACCAGCCGACTCTTTGATGCCTGAACGACACCTGTGCCCAAAAGCTTTCAAAGAACAATTATTCCAGTTATTCAGTTGGTCTAATAAAAGATAAATTCAATTTATTATTAAGGATTCAGGCTGAAAGCCATGCTCCTGAAAACAACATAACAGATATACAACCATAATATAAAGTTTAAACAAAAATAATAGAAATGCAAAATAATAAAATAGGGCCAACCATTATAAAAGCATTATTCCTACTCCTAGAATTAACATAATCAAGTACAAATATGGTGATAGATCATGAATCTATAAAATGTTATGCATAGGTCCACAATTAACGCACTAAAAAACAAATATAGTGATACATTTAAATAAAAGATAAATTTACCCAAATAACCTTGTCTGCCTATGTCCTTAGACCAACACAGTTACAACCAACACTCCAGAAAATGCATGTTTTTCAAAATAAAAATATTTTATATTTTTTACCTTCATCATCATTTTCCTCTTCATCATCATCTTCTTGCAGCTCTAGAGTTTCCTTAGGTTTGTTTTCTTCATCTTCTTCCTGCTTTCTTTTTTGTTCTTCTTTCTTCTTCTTTCTCTTTTCCTTTCTCTTCTCTCGTTTAGCTGCAAGAGCTTGTTTTCTGCTTTCTTCTCTTGACTGTGGGAAGCGAAAGCATCCATATTTAACCATACTAAGCATTAGTACTTACTTACTTACTTATGCTCATAATTAGGTCTTTGCATGAAAATGAGGGGGAGGTAAAGAAATGGTTATAAATTGTTATATAGAACCCAGACATCCTAACACTAGATCATACAAAATGAGATTAACTGGAACAGAAGCTTTCAGAGACTTACCACGCTGAAAAAACATGCAAGGAACTGGTGTCACCAACATGCATGTAACCAGAATGCTACAGACTGCGTTTAATGGCAATTTATGACTTATTAAAATATAAAACGATCTGTCACCATCTCAGATTAATATTGCAAAAATACATTTAAACAAATCTGAAGCAGCAAAACAATATCTAGAACATGTACAGTCAAAGTATACACTGCAGACCCAAGTGACAGCAGCAACTACAAATCTGAAGAAAGGAAAACCAGCCAGTTTCGATATACCTGAAATAAAGTTACTTTATACCAGTCAAAAACCAAGCGAAGATGATGGCATTTTTCCCCTCACCTTTTCCAGGTCAAGCTCCTTTAGCAGGATACTAGCATTCTTATTTGCTTCTGCAGCTTGCTGATCTTTAGCCTTCACAATTGTCTCCACACACTGGTGACATTTTTTCAGCAGCTCCTGAAAAGTAAAAATACTACTTTATGAAAAGAATCGAAAAAATCCAAAATTAATTATTGGAGCTTATTCTGCAAATATGAGATAGCATGTTTATGAATATTAATGAGTCAATTAGTATGACATAAGAAGATATTTCTCAAAGGCTTGTATTCAGTAATTTACTAAGGACTGTTTGATATTAAAAGAAGCACATTACCAAACTGTGAATAACTTCTCAAACATTTCACTAAGATGCCATTTTTCATCATCTGACCCGATGTTTTGCTTTTCAAAGAAGAATGTATTATATTCAAAATCTTGTCCAGCTAGCCCAACTATACAATTGGTCCAATAAAAATCAACACCCTAAGAAACCGTTGCCTCTTATGGAATTACTGGATCATCATAGCTAGAACTCTTACACTACTACAAAAGAGGACTCATTTTAAAATACGAAAAATAAATTATTTTTTATTTGGTCTCCTTTCCTTCATTACAATAGCTATTTAAATAAACTTCCTAAAAAGTAAATAAAGTGAAATGCAAAGGGCTTTGTTTTGGGGACACTCCTTTAAAGTCTTAAAACAGAAAGAAAAAAAATAAAATTATATGATACAGGTATGTAAATTAGTCACATTAGTCTGAAAGTCGAGCACAATGTAGGGCAGGGTGGCACCTTAGAGACAAACTCATTCAGAAATGCATAAGCTTTTGTAGGTGACAGCATCTGATGAAGTAGCCAGTCAACTACAAAAAAAAAGTATGTATTTTTTAACAAGTTAGTTTTAAAGGTGCCACCCTCCTTTGCCTTCTGTGAGAGGCAGAATCACAGGCTGTAACCTGATTTTAAAAGCTTTTCATTTTTCTAAGCAATTTTGAGTCAAAAAAGAAAACAATCCATGATGGAAAGACCAATTTGTCATACAAGAGTTGTTAACAACAACTAACCAACCACCAACCTGCTTTATTGTATTTGTGTTTTTATTTTAAGATTGCTTAAACTTTTTTTTAGGCTTAAGATCTTTGAAGGGCCCAGGACCGTATTTCGCACATATCCAGAAGAGAGCTGTTAGCTGAGCTAAGGTTGAAAAGTCATACTAAAACAGCAAGACAGCAAAGTTGCAGCAGAAACTGAAAACACTCAGTTATCTAATAAATAATCATGGAGAGGCCCAAGATCTGCCATAAGAGCAACAATTTTCTAAACAGAACAATGCACATCTAACATTCACTATGATGTTTCTATTTCACATGTTTGCTAAGACTCTGGCACTTTTATCTGCATATTTTTAAGAGACTTAATGCACTCAGTCTGCTTTCACAGTTAAACTTACCTTGTCAGTTATGGTGGCTATGTATCGCATACACTCAATATCTGAAGGGAACTGGTTAACTTCTTTCACCAGGAACTGAACTACTTTCACATGACCCTAGAAAATTAAATAAAATTGCAGTCTCCTCTGGCTATGAACAGCACATGCTGGCAATTACAACAGTGAGTGCTGTTAAAACAACAGCAGAAATAGTCACATTAAAAAAAATCCGCCTATGTAAGTGGTAGTGATCATCCGAATTTATAAAGCACTGACAATGATCTTGTTGTACAAGAAAGAAACAAATATAGCCCCTGCTGCAGTGAATTCATGGACTAAAACAGTGATTCTTAACTAGGTTGACAGAGTACCCTAGGGTGCCCCAAGATCTTTTGAAGGGTGACACAAAGTATGAGGAGATAACTGTAGGCTCAGGCTTGTTCCTGCCTGGCCACTACCCTGCCCTGCCCCCACTTTCTGGCCCCTTTACAAGGAAGCAATCACTATCATTAATAAATTAGGGTGCTGCTCAATTCATAAAAACTATTTCAAAGTTATGCAGGGGTGCCTCAAGTCTGAAAAGGGTGAAAACCACTGGACTAAAAAGACAAGGGACAGGAGGCTGGACACTGGAACTCCAATGGCTTATAGTGGATGATTTTAACCTGGTGGTTACGGTGTGAGGGCCGTTTTGAGTGGAGAGACTGAATGTCTCTACAGGCAAGACAACACAGCTAACAGGACTAGGCAGCCCTGCCTCCTCAAACCCAGCACCCACAGAAAAAACAAAATCAGATGTGAAAAAGGTTCAAGATTGTTGTTCGTCTCAAATCTGTAGCTTTCCAACATGCTGTGTTAGAAGCATCTGTGGTTTAGAAATTCCTTTACTAAACTTCTGCTTTTACTTTCCAGATATGTAGTAAGAAACCAGAGTTCTAACAACAAGGTGGCTTCTGGGGGAAAAAGTGCAAACTGCTGGATTTCAGAAGGACTGAGGCACTACTTCCAGAAGTTGATGGACGACAGTGCACTGATGACTACATAACACTGAAGCAATTCATACATCAGCAATTTTAAGCTCTTTCTTGAGATAAGAATTTAAAACTTACCTTAAAAGCACTAATTTTCTCAAAACACGAAAAAGTGACAGGTACATAATAATTTAAAGATCAACCATTTAGATTTAAAGCTGCTTGAGAAATTATTCCATTTGGAAAAATACTATCAACTTACCTTGCGAAAGGCTGACATAAGGGGTGTGATTTTTCGGTTATCTGCTGCATCGACATCAGCTCCTGCCTGCACAAGCAACTGCACCACATCAAAGTGGCCACCATTAGCTGCTAACCACAATGGTGTATTTCCTTTCTTGTTGCGAACATCAATATGTGCTCCCCTGAAAGAGACACATCATTAAGTTAAATAGGATATCTGATGACTGGGAGATGGGAAAGGTTACTAAAAACATGAAAATTCAAACTGCATTTGAAGTTACAACTTCCATCATTGACAAACCATCAGGAGCAAGTTGGAAAACTCAAGAACAAAATGTAAGGAAATCCTTTTCTATTTAAGTAACAATGTAAATTAAAACAAGATAAACTTAAATCTATGTAGTAAAATATGACTGGGGTGAACCTGTATCTACATTAGCTTCTAACTACGAGTTGGATAATTAACAGAATATTTAAGTTCTAGTTCTCATTTATTACAGACTATGCAGCTACAGATGACATAGGAAATAATTTACCGATTAATGAGGAGCTCACAGAACTTGTAGTGGCCTTTGTCTGCTGCAATTGTTAAAGCCGTATCTCTTGAGGAAGGCACTGGTGGAGCATTGACATCTGCTCCTTTATCAAGGAGAACTCTTCCAACCTCTGCATACCCTCCAGAAGCAGCTTCCATGAGAGGGGTGAGACCAGTCTGAGATAAAAAAAAATAGTTCTGAAATATGCAATTTATGCAAAATGCAGTCTGGATGCATCCTTAAGCATTTTAGCCCTTGAAAAAAAAAATAAGGCCTTTTATTCGTGTGTCTATACTGGACCAATGAGTCTAGCTTCAGGCAAGCAGTTTTTAAAATTTTACTTACTTATACATTACAGTGACCCAGACAAATAGATAACAAATGTCAGTAGATGCAGTATTTAAACTGTAAGTTCTATATTAATACCACAGATTTATTTTCAAGAGAGGCAGATTTCAGCTAAAACATTTTTGTTGTGTATGAAATGGCTAGCTATATCTGTGTGTTATGCTCAAAATGCCACTTGAGAATTATACTTTTAGAGTGAAAACTGTTGGCATTAGCAATGTGTAAGGGTGCAACGTAGGTGCATGAGCACCCTCTGAGATTGGCAGTGCACCCCCTGCAAAAAGCGCCGCCAACATGGCCAGAAGCATCTGTAGGTGGTTGCCACTAGGCCCCCCCCGCACCAGCACCGTGACCGCCTATGGGAGCTCATCGCTCACCACTGCCATGCTTCCACTGTCAACAGTGCTGCCGATGCCTGCAGGAGCTCGCTGTGCCCTCCCAGCCTCTGAGGGCACACAGTGTTCCTGGCTGTTGGGACCTATTTACTTTTCATGCAAAAGGAATGGCTAGCTGTTTATTAAAAAAACCCACCCATTTGATAAGAAATCATGCAATTCATTCTACACACTATTTATTTCACAGTTTCTAAACAATATTTCTGACTTTTCCATAAAACATTTTCTATGAAACATTTTGATTTGGATAAGAATGATGGTTTGCTTTGGGATCAGTGAAGTGGATAGAACCAAGGGGGTTAAAAGATTAAGAGAACCTGACAAATCTTAAAGTACACTTGTCTCAAGCCAACTTGATGGGAAAGTTAATTCATGGTCTTACCTTAGCCCTATGTTCAACATTGGCTTTCCTGTCCAAGAGAAGACTGACCACCTCTGCTCGGCCCTGGAAGCAAGCCAGGGTGAGCGCTGTATTCCGATTAGTCTCAATTTGGGCATTAATATCAGAACCCATATCAAGCAACAGTTTCACTGCAGGTACATGGCCATTCATTGCAGCCAACATCAGAGGAGAAATACCTAACTTACTCCCAGTCCTAAAGAGAAAAAGAATAAAACACCCAAAAATAAATATTTTACAAAATTCAATGAATACTCTGGGACATTCAAGTACATTTTCATTTAAGAGGAATAATATTTGTGTAACATTTTCTAGATTGCCATAAAACCTGGCCTAAGGTACTAATTCAACACTGACTGAGAACTACGAGAATAACTAGACACAGCAAATATCTGAATTTTAAAATCTAAGAAAAAAGTTTCTTAGACTAAATAAGGTTTTCTGAAATTTTTATTATTCTGCAATTTCCCTACATGTACGAATGAATGAATGCCAAGCTGACAGTTCCAGAAAGAGAGACAACCCTATGACAGAGCACTTCGTCCTCCCTGGACATTCCATCACTGATCTTAGAATATCTTAGACAGCAAAACTTTATAAACCAACTTGAATGGGAAATTGATGAACAAGAAATCATCTACACACTAGATTGTGTAAAGTATGGTCTAAAGAGACTCCAGATTCTTATCCTATTATCTGGACCAGCTTTTGTGACCACCTCTCACTGTCCACCTCTCCTTCCTCTCTGTCCTTTCTCTGCCTTGGATTCAAATCACTCTCTCCATTTTATAACTGCTCTGTGCATGTCTCTTCATAGCATCTGATGAACTGAGCTCAGGCTCAAGAAAGCACGTGCAATCTCTCTTGGATTTTGTTAGTCTATGAAAAAGTGAAAGCCTCCCCTACCTTCTGCCTGACTTGAGATTAAGATGGCAAACTACCTCTCTCTGTTTACCCCATTCTCATTAAAAAGCTAGGCAACTGTGGCATTGATGTCTACACAGTCAGATGGATTGCAAATTGGCTGAAGGGCCGCACCCAGTGAGTGGTGGTAGATGGGTCGTATTCAACCTGGAGGGATGTGGGCAGTGGAGACCCCCAGGGCTCGGTCCTTGGGCTCATATTGTTCTATTTCTTTATTAGTGATTTGGACGAGGGGGTGAAAAGCACCCTGTTCAAATCTGCTGATGACACCAAGATTTGGGGTGAAGTGGGCACACTAGAAGGCAGGGACAGGATACAACTGGACCTGGACAGGTTACAGGGGTGGGCAAATAAGAATAGGATGGGATTCAATACTGACAAGTGCAGGGTACTGCACTCGGGCAGTAAGAACCAGCAGCATACCTATAGGCTAGGGAACTCCCTTCTCATAAGCACAGTGACAGAAAGGGATCCTGGAGTCATTACTGATTCCAAAATGAACATGGACCACCAATATGAGGACAGTCAGTAAGGCACCTTGTCATGCATCCACAGATGTATCACGAGCAGGGCCAAGGAGGTGATTCTCCTCCTCTATGAGATGCTGGTCAGGCCACAGTTGGAGTGCTGTGTCCAGTTCTGGGCACCGCACTTTAGAAGCGATGTGGCCAGCATCGAGAGGGTCCAGAGGAGGGCCACACACGATCCAGGGACAGCAGGGCAAACCCTATGAGGAGAGGCTACGGGACCTGAACCTGTTCAGCCTTAACAAGAGAAGGCTGAGAGAAGACCTGGTGGCCGTCTACAAACTTACCATAGGGGACCAGTGAGGAATGGAAGAGACCCTGTTCCCCCAAGCACCTCCCGGAGTAAGAAGGAATAATGGCCATAAATTGTTTGAGAGTAAGCTCAGGCTGAAGTAGTGCCTTCTAATGTCCAAAGTCAGGGCGGCTAGGATCTGGAACCAACTTCCAAGGGAAGTGGTGCTGGCTCCTACCTTGGAGATCTTTAAGTGGAGTCTTGATAATTACCTAGCTGGGGTCATACAAGCCCAGTATTCTCTCCTGCCTGGGGTAGGGGGTCGGACTTGATGATCTACTTAGGTCCCTTCTGACCCTACATCTATGAATCTATGAGAACCAACACTGGAACATCTGTCCCACATTGTAGTTTCTCTGATGCGGAAGTATCTTACCGTGAATTAATTTCTGCTCCAGCATTAAGCAGAATCTTAATGATGTTGACATATCCCCCAGATGCAGCAAGACTTAATGGTGTATAATCAGAAACATTCCTATGCTCTTTATTTGCTCCCCGAGCCAGCAACAAGTCAACCACCTGTAAAAGTATAGTAAAAAGGATGTAAGAGGTATGTCATGGGATGCCATTATCCAGGGTGTGGAAGAATTTATTAACACTTTAAAAAAACCTTTATGCATATTTTCAGTAATCTTGAGATGCTCATTTAGATTCTTTAACTTATACACTGCATAGATCCAGCAGCTGACAGTATTTATAAAACAGTCTGCATGGACTGGGGCAGTGAAGCGCTTCTTTTTCAAAAGGATGATCCTATCTAACCAAAAATGGTGGAATTTCTTCCCATGAACGGAGGTCTGAGATTTACGGTATATATCCAAATCCTGAGAAGTCTGACATGGTAGTTCAAGGGTTTCCCCCAAGGGATTTCCTACAAATTGAATTAAACATTGATATTAATGCCAAATCTGACTGTCAGTTGTATACATCTGTTCAACAAGAAGTGCAATATTGCCAAAAATGACTGAGGTAACAGAGACACAAGAGAAGGGCGAAGGCAGGGCATCTCTCCAGCTTCTTGTGAGGAACAGAGAAGGAGCTTTCTCCTGGAGGAAGAAAATTTACAAAAATATTAACTGTGTCAGGTCTCATCTACTGATGGAAAGTCTGTGCAACTAATAAGGAAACTAGCAAATTCTGGAAATACCTCATCTAAAAGGTAGCCAAAAATGTGATACACTGAGCTGTTAACATAAGGAAAATGGAGGAAGAGGGTGAAAAATGGAAGAAAAAGGGAAAATTAAGGAAATTTAACAGGTACTGCTTTAAGTCATTGTATAAATCTTTTCTCCATTTCTCTTCCTATTTTGCCCTTTGCTCACATATAGTTTTTACTAGTTAAAGTGAGACCTGTAACACCCATTTTTTACTTCTTTAAATGCCTAGTGTACTATAAAAAAAGAAAAAAAATCATTTTCCATGAGACACAAATTTTGGATTTACTCTGCAAGATCCAAAATTCCAAAGTACATGGAAGAAAATCCTGAGATTGAATAATTAAGAGGGTGGAGAGGACCCAAAACAAACACTCAACCTCCTAAAATCCACAGGCTTTGCATTTGGCACAGAATCTTAATGTATCAAAAATATTCTGTTTACCTTCTGTGTGCTACAGAAGCTAAGACAAAAGCCAAGGCACAACTAACTGGCAACAGACATCCTGGGATTGTTTATACCATTTTTTTCATTTGCTAATAGATACTTCCATTTTTTCCTTAATGCTATACGAGTCCCATCACAAACTTGTTCAAATCTACCCGCCCCCTTTGCAAGTCTCTTTCTTTCCTCATGGATCATTATACTTATTTCTTTCCAAAAATGTGAAACATATTGAGCAATAAACTTTTTTCCATATATGTACTGACATTCCTCCCTTCTCTTTTTTCAACAAGTAGGAGGTGAAAGTCAGGTACTGAATCATTAAGTTTAAAAACCTTGGAAAAAAAATTAAATGTTTCACTTTAAGGTAAATTAAGAGAAGAATTAAGTCATTCACATACAACAATTCAAACCCAGTAGAAAAAAGGAGAGAAAGATGTACCTCTTGGCGTCCACCAGAGCATGCCAGTGAAAGTGGTGTGTCTTTTGTGCGCTCAGACTGTGCCTCTATATCCCCACCTTTGTCTAGTAGGATTTCCACTACGCCAACATGTCCGGCAGTTGCAGCCAGAATTAATGGTGTAAAACCTAATCCAACAAGGATCATGTGAGAAAACTGACAAGCTTAACAGATTAGTGGTAGGCACGAAAGTATGCCTCAATGGGTTAATCGATCATAAGTACCCGAGTCAAATACAAGAATAATCATCCTTAGATGCCACCCTGAATAATTTTAAACAAACTGTATTACAGTGGAGTGCCCATTGTGGTACATGTAAGCTTAAGTGCTTTCTGCTTAAAAGGTGACTTAGGTTAAGTCTACACCACAGCAAAACTTGAGTGCAACCACCCCCAAAGCAGTATGACAGTGGTAGCTGCTGTCTGGTACAGAGCTTCTGCGGACAGAAGCAGGTAAATGTAGCAAGGCCTTAAGTACTCTAATATCCACATGCTTGCTAAGGCTGTTTTGAAATATCCTGTACCTGTTCAGGAAGCTGGGTAGTGAAATCAAGCAAAATTTGGGGTCATTTGAGCAAGAAGTTCAAGATGGAGACCCCAAAACACAAAATTCCACAAAGTCACTTTTTTGAAAATTCTGCGGACAGAAGCAGGTAAATGTAGCAAGGCCTTAAGTACTCTAATATCCACATGCTTGCTAAGGCTGTTTTGAAATATCCTGTACCTGTTCAGGAAGCTGGGTAGTGAAATCAAGCAAAATTTGGGGTCATTTGAGCAAGAAGTTCAAGATGGAGACCCCAAAACACAAAATTCCACAAAGTCACTTTTTTGAAAATCCGGGGGTATCTCAGGCAGGACATGAGACTCAATGCTCCTTTGCAGAAGCAATACAGGTTTCCCTCGCTTTATGCAGGTTCCGTATGCACAAATTCGCTCTTACGCACTGACCCTTTTAATAACAAAAATGTATTATATGCGAGGTAAATTCACTCTTATGTGTTGGGTATGGTAGAAGCCTGCAGTCAGCTGCTTTATATGGTGCATTGTGGGAGTGATGTACACCAAAATGTAGTCTCCTTTGTGGATCTGTGCTCCTCGCTCGTTGCCTGCAACACATTTCTGTAGTTGCCATCCTTATTATGACAGTGCCCTATAATCATGTGTACTGTCTGCTGTTGGTGAGCACCAAAATTGTCTTGTAAAAGTGGTAGAAACGGGTTTGGGGTCAGTACAGTCAAGGTCTTGGAATGTATCCGTATTTGTTACATTGCAAAGTGGGTTCCCTTTATTTTGAGTTATGCACCGTTTTCCAGGAACGCATGTACAGCACAAACGGAGGGAAACCTGTATGGGAAACATTACTGAAAGAGAACTGCCTCCTGGAAAGGGAGTTCCTGAACACTCACAAAGGAGACTGAAACGCAAATGTGCAGCAAGCCCAAAGAAGTCTGTAAGAAGCCCTCTGTCATAGGAGCTGGATGGTGCAAGGAGACAATCTGTGGTCACTGAACCTGAAATATTAAGTCTGCCTAAAGCATTCAACTTAAGCACCACTCTCAGCAGAAAACAGGAATTAACTATGGGCACTGACACTTTTAAAAGTTGTTTTTCTTTTTAGGAAATGCACTTGCAAACCTTTGAAGCTAATTATCTTAAATAAGATAAATTACATATGCTCTAGGTAGATATGAGGGGATGAGTGCTTGCTATATTGCTACTTTTCTACTTTGCAGATTACTATAGCAGGGCACCAGCACTGATTGATCAATTACTACTGTTTAAAAGATTACAGAAAAAATGAAATGCAGTCAGGAGAATGTAATCATGTTTCCTGAACAAAGGCCCTGATTATATTTAAGGTCAAGACATTTCTGATGTAGCTTCTAATATGAAGTGTTCATAAGATTAGATTCCTAATCTTTTTGGAGCAGGGCTATGGAATTTGGTATGTTTCCATACTGCAGGGACTAGAAGTGAGATGAGGCTGAAGTGAATGTGTGGAGATTTACTGAATGTCCACTGCTATGTGGTAACTACCTAAGCACATACTGTTACTCTATAATAGATGAAAGCTAATCAGTGGCAACTGTGAGGGCTACACTGAGTTAGCATTCATTTCCTCCAGGGTAACAGCACACACAGACAGTTAACATGGAGTGCCTAATGTATGGCAAAGAACTACATTTCTTTTACTTTACAAAAACTTGTTTGTATGGTCATGCCTACTCCTAAACTCCTAAGGGATACGGGGAAACAAAGACAAGGGTGAGGCTAGTGGTATACATGGAGTAACTCAAAAGTGGTGGAGATGCAAGAAATGAAATATACACTGAACTCAAACAATTATTTGTAAAGCTTACCCTTCTTGTCTCGGTGTTCAATATTGGCACCTCGTGCTATTAATACAGATACAAGTTCTTCGTGACCACCTGCACATGCAAGGGTCAGTGCAGTATCATGATTACTCTCAGTCTGAATGTGAGAAGCAAAAAAGTATACATTAAGTTTTTTTCTGACAGTGAATTCTCAGTTTTAAACATATGGCACCTGGACTTCAAAATTTCAAAACAAATCACTAAAGCAGATGAATCTGTAGTCAAATTAAATTACTCACATGTGCATCAATGTCAACTGAAGGATACATAGGGAGTACAGACTGAGAAGCTACATTGCTTGGCGTCTGCGAACAGGGCTCCGGTGTAGGAGATTCCGTGGTGTGTGTGGAACTAGTGGAGCCAGTGGGCACTCTGCTATTCACAGCTGAAAAACAACATTAATATTGTTATTCTGCTCTTAGGAATTGTTCATTTCAAATTAAACAAAGAGGTACAGAGTCTTACAATGCATATCCTAAAAGCACTGTATCAGCTTGAAGGGGCCCCTGAAAATAACAATTTATAGAAACTTTTCTGCAAATAAAAAAGCAAGTATGCTGCACTGCATTTGGATCAGAAAGGTGGTTTTACAAGGTTAGTTGCAAATAGCCATTAATATAAGTTACTTTTTTAATACTGTAACCTCAGCTGTTACAGTTCAATTACATGTTCACTCTAGGCAGACACTGAAAGTACTTACAACTAAAAGCACAATCTAAGAGTTGGAAAATAAGGAACAAGTCAGGAACTCAGAAGTATTTCATCTAAAGGGTAGTAAACATCTGTACAAAGTTGTCAAGTAAAGCTAATAAAGAAAGACTTAAAACGTGAGTTCCAGATTGCCTTAATTTTGTTTCGGTGCCAAAAACAAATTCAGAAGAATAGAGGATGTCAGTAAGGAAGTAGCAGTCTGGGAAAGTAAGAAAGCAGAAAAGTTCTTGTTTATTTCCCCTAACCATTTCTATCATTTTGAATCAACCTTTTGTGAAAGAATGGAAAAATCCCATCGTGAAATTAAGTCTGCACTTCAACTGTGCAAGAAAGCTGTTAGTTTAAAAATCAAATCTGAAGTACATTAGGGATAGTAACCCAAAAATTGAGTATAGAGTCGTATAGAGTTCAAACAAAAGACTAGGAACAAGCAGAAAGGCCAAAAAAAAGACACATTCTTAGCATATTTTAAGTTCAGGACCTCAGCATAACCTCAATAGTACTATGGATCGTTACTATTTTTGAGGAAAAACCAAACAAATTAGAAAGGCTCCAACAGGAAATCAGATGAACAGAAATATTCCCTATTTCTCACTAATTTGTTTCAATGCCCTGCATGCTATTATAAAAACCACAAATATGAAAATCACATTTGGACGCAAAATGGCTTTTGTGGAAATATGAGATCCTGTATTGTGTGCTCCTGCCAGAGTAACCCGATTTGTTCTAAGCAAATCTGAACAAAATGCACAACTGACACAAAACAGGTAGTGTTTTACAGTGTTTTTTGCCATAAGCAACTGTGATGACAAAGGTGTCTGATGAGCTCAGGTGGAAAGAAAGCAGTGTTACCTGTTTTCATGCAAATGTTCTTAGTAGAAAAAGGATGACGAAAAGAAAAAAAAATAGAGGTCATAAGCGGAATTTTTCCTAAATGTAAACATTTGAAATTTTTTGACAAACCATTATTTACTAATAGGAAGTGCAAATACACTAGCTAAAAGACAACAAGCTTATCATCAAGGATAAATATCATTATAACTGGGAAGACCAAGAAATATTATGATATACACCCTTCTCTAAATCTCAGTATATTTGATGTTTGTTTTTATTAACATGGAATACCAATGATATGTTAAAAAACTGAATGGATTTTAAAAAGAATCAGAATGTATCTCTTAGAGCTGACGAAATCTGGGGGAAAAAAAATCCTCTGAGGTTTTCAGATACAGTTTTCAGATACAGTTCCAAAAACACTCAGTGTAGTGTCAGATGTTCACTCTAGTCACTACTCAAAGTTGAGCATTACATTTGAATTACAGCATAAAAGTGATGATGTCTTACACTTGGACTCAAATGGAGTTCACTTCAAATGCTAAGTACATCATGAACAAATCAGGTTTGTATTATAAGTTTGCAAATGTAAAAAAGTTCTTACACTTCATTCACTTAATATGGATTAACACATACCTACCTTAGCAGTATGCTTTGATTAATTAGACAATGTAACACAGTTAACATATACGAAGCACTATTAAGTGCTTTGCAGTAAGTGGATTTCCAAAGATTACTCTGTCCAAATTAAGAAGAAAAATTACGCAGTTAAGGACTAATTCCTTCTAAAACAAGATAGACCCTCCTTAAGATATGTATTAGCACAATGACTTCACATCCTACAACCATTACATATTTAATTTTTTTGGAAAGGAAGAAGAAAGGTAGCACACAAAGGGATACTACTTCAGATATTTAATGTCTTTAAGATTCCCTATTAAAATATATTTCCTCTTAATGCTGAAGAAATCAAAACTTTAAAAACGCATAACAAGGCCTAAATCCATTCACAGGGCACTGCCTGTTCAACTTTGTACAGTAATAAAAATATTGCACAGTGGTTCAAGTTAAATCCAACAACCAGCTTGCTACCATATCTGATGACCGAAAGGGAAGTCAGTAATTTTTCACTGCTTTCAAAAGTTACCATATTGGCAAATTTTAGATTCCTAACCTGTGATTCTCTATATTGGTTATCAAGCCTGAAATTGGACCAAGGAAAATGTTAATGTAGACTAAATGCTCAGAAATATCTCGTAAAGGTTTCCAACATTAACTGGAAGCCAATTTAGTTCAGTGAAATATCAAATCAAAACATCTATTAATATCAATGTGTAGGTTGGTCAGGATTTGCCTTTATTATTTTATAGAAAGATCCCCAAAGAACCCCTTATGACAAGTAACTTTTCCTTTTATCTTGACAAAATATTTATATGGGACCAAATTTAACTAAGCTGGTACCACTATATTTCACCCAAAGTTTATGGTTCAGCGTTATAAAAATTACAACAGAAATGCAGGCCAGCATTAAATCTCACTTGTGGAACAGGGAAACTCAGGAAGCATGGCAACACTGAATCCTTGATTATGAGAGGGTGCTGTAGAAGAATGGGAGAGTGACCTCGCCATTTCCTTTTTAAAAGCAAAGAAATCATTATACTTGAAAACAGCACGTGCTCAATGTATTCTTGCCAGACTACTTAACAATTTGAGATGTTGGGGCAATTTGCAAATGACTAAATCCTATTGCAGTATAATTTGAACTGCAGATTTCTAGTAGCAACAGTTTGAACATGTAGAATGATAGCCATCCCAAGTTTTGGCTGCCTTCAGCAATAGTATATTTTGAGGGTGCAGCACAGCAGCACAAAAATTAAGACAACCTGCATGAATCAAACCATAGTGCCAAGACAAAAGAATGCTATTAAAGAGAAAAGGTCCAATGGAAAGCTACAAAACAGATGCTCATGTGGGGCAGGACAGATTTAGTGGCTACTGTAACTGGAAACTTCACTGCCAGTTTGTGAAACAAGAGCAGGAGGAAAAGATTCCTCATGTGGGAACAACCCTTCCTGGATAGATTTCATAAGCAGAAGAATTGGTCATACTTTCCTGGATAACTTCTAAGCTGGTTTTTAACCTCAGAAGCCTGCATAATTCTCTATTTTTGGCATACTCTTGAAGGATTCTGATACAGTCCACCATCTGCACAGTATCAAAATAGCACTATCTAGAAATGCAAGAGCAAAGGAAGAAAATAAAACTATATAATAAGGAAAGGGAAACTTTGCTAAAGGACGCTGGGACAAATGCATATGAGCACAAAAACAGTCCTAGGATCTTGTGTGTGCAATGAAGGACAAAGCAGGAAAATTTAAATTGGAAAGAACCCTATACTGATGCACTTCATGAACTGGTGTGACAAATATCAGTATTTGGTGGAGGACCTGAAAATCAGTTATTACTATATAATTTAGCAAGCACCTTCAATTAGGTCTCTAAAGAATTCTGCAGGATTTAACTGAAATATATTATGTTTCATCCATGACACCCATAATTTTGTGAGTCAGACAAAATCCTAATGACCTGAAGGCCAAGTTTTTGCTTTACTTTTAAAATACAAAAAATATTTTTCTTGGTATGATAAGGCCAAAAGTTTAATTGCAGGAATTATCAAAGAATTTAATTTAAAAAACTCCATGCATTTAACTTCATATGCCCTTCCCCCCTCAAATAACATATTCACCCATACCCAAAATGACTGTGAATTTAAGAAAAATTCCAAAAATTAGATTCTCTACATGGGAAATTTATACATTTGTTGTAATTTTCCAAGTATAGAATCTACTTATTAGAGGCTTGTCTTAAATTCATCCCCCTCACCACAGGGCAAGCGGTTTGGTTTGCCCCTGCCCACTAGACCTGGCCCCGTGCTTCCTATTCCCCTGTTCTTATAACCTCTGGCACCTGCTTCTCCACTGTATGCCTCCCTGCTGCTGTTTGCCAGATGTATGCACTTTGTCACTCACCACTTGCTTCCTCATCCTGTGCCTGCCTCACCCCTTCACCTCTGCCCCAGCCACTTACCTTTTGTTGAGGCTCTGGCTCTGGCCCTGGCCCTGTGCTGAGCGCAGGAGGCAGGGCAGAAACTGCTGCAACCACAGCCTCAACTCCTGGGAGGGGGTGGGAAAGGGGAAGGGAGGATGGGCAGAAGTGGAAGTGAGGGGGCAGAGGCAGCAGCTCTGACTCCAACTCCAAGCCTGAACCCAGGGGAAAGGAGAAAAAGCCTAGTCTTGAATTTGAGTCAATACAGTAGTCTTACCATATGCAACTCAGGAACTAAATAATACAGTATAGGTTTTAGATGCTTCCATATATTAACTTTTAGAAGGAACCTGTACAGACCAATGTTTTATTTGATAAACTTTTTGCTTGAATAAGTATGAAGTTTTAATAGTTTGCCTATGTTGATTTTAAGAGTTATTCTTATTCTTTCTGGGATTGGTTTTTGAAGATTACATTATGAATACGTTTGACATTAGACTAAAAACAGAATCACAGAGCAGAAACTAACTTATGTGAGACCCTATAATTTTACATTAGGTTGTTATAGCAATTTTCGAGAACACTGGCAGGAGTTATGGCAATAGTAGTTCTAGTTTGCAGCTAAAGATAGATGTCAGTTGCTTCGTCTGTAAACTGCTAAATATAACTTACGTTTACTGTCCACTCTACACTAAGACTGCTAAGAAAATGAATGTAATTAACAATTTAGGTTTATTTCCCTTGATTTTTCCATGGACGTATATTTGTAATATTTCAGTATTGCATTGTACACTG